AACGCTAAAGAGCTCCAGAGTTAATGAGAGACTTCAGCTCGCTGACAATTCTCACACCCAGAAGATGAGTAAGATGCAGGGCAGAAGAAAGGATGGAGGAAGACGTCTCACTGAAGCCTTAAATAGTACAAATGAGTCCGCGTCTCTCTTTAACATGTATGTGCCAAAAGGAACAGGATGTATGTGAGTCTGTGTTACAGAGGCAGAGTTTAAAGGATAGGCACGCACTGACAGTGTGGAGCCTTGTCACGCCCCCACAGTGTGATTGTGGGCACTTTAATTCAGCTCCTAAGATTCAGGCTGGTTCAGAGATTTCCCAATCTTTATGAAAAAATTATGTTGTACTCGAAGTGTTGTGCAAAAAAACAAATTTGTCATTTTGAATAATTTCAGGACTTTGTTTGTGTCTGTATAAAAACATCTGGCTTCACAAAGCCACAAAACACAATGAAAAATCCTAAAATGACGACAATTGTGAGCGAGCCCACTAGTTCAGTAAAGTGCACGGAATGGTTTCTCAGTAGGCTGAATAAGAGACGTGAACTATGTCATGATGTACTGCTTCCATGAAAACACAAAAGTAAAATGTTAGCCAAAATTCCTTTTAGGCAGTCAACACTTTATATTTATAAAAGTTTTACATCATGAAATATATCTGAGTCTTTGTTAAATCCATTTCTCAGTACATTAATTTAATCTCTTTAACCCAAGCATATTCTGTGAGCAGTTTTTGGTTAATTGGTTTTAGACAGTGATGGGACTGGGAAGTTGTTTACCACACACAAATGAAATCACTCAGAATTGCTTCAGTTTACTGCATTCTCAAACCTCATGTGTGTCCAAACTGTTGCTGCAGCACCATCTCTCATCTGAATGTTCTTGTTTGAAATCTGACTGGACAGAAGTACCAAGATGAGTGAGGCGCTGCAACCTGTGCTTGTGCCATCCAGACACTTCTTAGCATGTATTTATGCGGGTGTCTCTTATTGCATATGTTAGAGTTTGTATTGTTGATTGTCATTTATGCATATTCATGTAACCTCAATAAAAGGACAGTGTACGGGAGGACGGACGAGAGCAACTGGGGCCAAGCGAAGGAACGGTGCCTGTCCGGTTCTCTCCCGTGCACGAGAAACATGAAGAAGCTTGCCTACTTGTGTCTTGCTTTGCAGTGTAATTATATTGTCTTCAACGTTCCAGCGGATGGGTTCAAGCTACAAACCTATCAGCATATGCCGGGACAGGCTGGGTTGATGTGTACAGAGGCAGCAACAGCTAATGACCACTGCACAGCTGCAGGTTGCTCTTACCCAGCAATTCCTCAACAACAGATCCAGACACTTGTGCGGACCATGCAGACAGGTGACTGCTTCTATCGCATGCAGAAAAGGTTGCAATTTGAATGAAACATATATTTACATGTATTTTAATGTTGGTGACACAGTTGTAGCCTGAACCGTTTTAACATGCTGGTTAATTTAATGACGCTGCAATATTCAAAATTGTGTGAAAGTGTGCTGTCAAAGCAGGCAAAATAGAAAAACCACAACATAACATTATAGATGCAATATGATGGCAAAGAAACTGCAAAATGCTACTCAAATAAAGTTTTAATTTGGATATTGATGCTTCCATGGATTCTATTGTAAGTTAACACAGGATTTCTATTTAGCTTGAGTAAAGTGGAATGGGTTTTGTGTCCTAGGTAGGATTACATGTATATTGTACCTCTTCCTTTATTGTCCTCTTTAGAGCTTTAGATGTGTGTGTGTGTGTGTGTGTGTGTGTGTGTGTGTGTGTGTGTGTGTGTGTGTGTGTGTGTGTGTGTGTGTGTGTATTAAAAGCTCAGTTACAGGATCATCTCCTATCCTCAGTGAGGTGTGAACCCCAGACTTCTCACGCCCCACCCCAACCCTGTCAGCCTTTACACCAGCATAGGTGTTAAAGGCCCCGCTGAGGTGACATTTATCACTGCTCTGGGAAAGAGCTGCTCTGAAACAACACACACGCACGGAGCAGAGGATGAATCGGGTTGGAAAATGTATCTCCTTCTCACCAGATATTAAGATTATCAGGTCTAGACATGAATGATAAAACGACTTTTTTAGCACTTGAAGATGATTAACTCACTGTTCCCATTAAACTGCCCATTCAGAGATACTGTTTTTCACTGATCTGCCTCGTGCTGGCAAAGCTTGTTGGGTCAGACACTCGCTCACAGACTTATCTATGACTACCTGATCAGTGTCTGTTTTTAGGTGGTGTATCTCGCTCCTCCTTTTCCCCTGATGATAAATGTGTCACTCTCACTACAGAGGATGTGCTTGTGGCTGAGGGAAAGTGTGTGTCCAGATGATTTGGGATGTTGAGTCACCCACAGTAAAGAAGATAAGATAGCAGGCAAACAGCTTTACGAACCCATTCATTTTTTTTAATCAAGATTGTTCCAGATTTAGTAAATACACAGTTGTTACAGTAATACTTTGTTATTTTAAACGCAGATGAGTTCATTGTGAAACAGGATACTTCAGCGGGGCATGCAAGGACAGTAGCACAGTACAGAAAATAAACATTTGTAGAGGACAGTAGCCAAATATTGGCAACGGTAACCTTGTGAACAACGGGTCAGTGGTTCACATTCCTGAACAGCTTGGCAGGCAAAGCTGCTGAAGCACAACAACACCCATCATGATACTGTAGAGGAAGATACCCATACCCATTATAAGTTGGTTTCCAGACGCTGAGGTGCCACAGACCAAAGATACATTTTCTCCAGTACAGCACTCATCACAACTGTCTGCCAAGGATAATATAAATGTCAATGATTTGATAAAAACTGTGTATATATCTTCAAAATCAAACTGAAGGTAAAGGTTTTATGGTTATTGCCAGTTGCACTGACTGCTTCTACTTCCTTCAGATGATTTCTGCTCATTTTGGTCTTTGGCTCCCCCTAGGTAGCCGTTTATACACATACACTGTGTGGGGAAAATACTCCAAATGTTCTTACTTGTCCACTCCAGGGTAATTCTGGCATTGCCACACCAGAAACTGGAGTACTTATTTCAATTCTTACCATTTCTTAGCATTTACATCCAGTGGCTCAAATGGGCAATTTCTTGGACCAGGTGGGGCCTCTGGGCCACATGTTTGACACCCCTGCTGTATAGGGTTTGAAAGTCTGTTTTAAATACAGCAGTCTATTTACCGCATATTTTCCCAATTTTTTTTATATTTAAAGTTGTTTCTAATCATCTGACAAAAGTATTTTCTACAACTGCCTAATGTTATTTTATTTACACTTATAGTTTTTATGAGCTATCGAGTTATTAGAGTAAAATCCTACACGTCAGGTTTTCAGAAACACTAATGCTGCTGCTTGTGGCTCTGGAAGCCGATAGCCTGAAATAGTCTGTGATTGGTCTACAATAAAAAACAAAATCTGAGTTAATATTATTTTTCCAAATCTGCACAATGTAATATCCAAAAGCTGAATTTTATTGATAAATTAAAATGTTTTATAAAGCTTTTAGCCCTTCACAACACTTTAAAGTAGTGGATGATTTGTTTCTATGCCAACAAGAACAGCAACTCTGCATGTTTACCAGTTCAGTAGATTAAACGGGTAAATATGTCTCATGCTGTGTGTATAATCAGTGTTGTCCTTTTAAATGAAGGTGTCTTGACTTTCTGGATACTAATAATATGTTGCCTCCCCTTTTGGGACCTATAGGTAGTCTAGACAGTTATATTATAATAGTGACTGTAACAGGGTGCAAATCACATGTGACATCCCTATGATCAGAGCTGATGTCCTGATAATTGGTGTTATCCTTTGTGTCATCCCTGTAATCTGCAGTGTCCTGCACGAGGAGCCCACCAGCTGAGGAGAAACGGAGGCCATGTGTGATCTGTCACAGATCAGCATTGCCTCCTTCAAATTAAATCTAATGTCCTGTGATAAAGGCTGCATAAATATCTGAACAGGACTAATATAGAAAATATTTACATGTTAGCACTGTAACACAAATACTGTATAGATCAAGTGTAACACTCTGCTCAAATGATTTATTATGTTGAACCGATGAACTTTTCAAATATATTTTCTTTATTTATAACATATACATCTAAAAAAACAACAACAACTGTCTGCCAATGGATAGCTATGTTAATAAGGGCTTTTGTGTCATAACCAGCTTTTCTGTCATGCTTTCAGAACGATCAAGTTCCATGGTAAGACTTTTCTAACTTTTTAATATATTTTCTAAGTGATAGAAAGCAGTTCTGGTGACCTTATTAATATGATGAATAAAAACTTAGATCACAATCCAAAATAATGCCAAGATTCCCAATTCCTCACAGTGTTTCATAGAAATGGATAAATATGAACAAATTTTCTGTCTTGTCTCTGTTCAGTTCTAAAACGTTTTGAGGCAACCATCAGATAAGTGCAGGTATTAACTTGTGAACAAGGGTTAGATCATCAGAGGAAAATGATAAGTATAACCCTGGATCATCTGCATAAGAATGTCAGGATATATCGTGATTCTTTATGACAGTACCAAGCAGGAACATGTAAAGGTTAAAGAGTAATGGAGCAAGGACTGTTCCGTTAGGAACCCCTGACTGACTTTTTATTTCTGCAAATCTAAAACTTTGAAGTGTCAATGTGTTGAAGGCAGCAGTGAGGTCAGGTAGAACTGACTGAAACTCATTGTGAGTCACTGTTGATCTTCAGGTCATTGACGACTTCGGTAAGAGCTGTTTCTGTGCAAAGTTAAAGTCACATGCACGATTTTTACAGCTTTTACTGTGTTTTAACGGAGTACGTGATAACCCCACACAGCATGGGTGAGAAGAATAGAGCAAATACGCCATCTATTGGAGAACCACAGAAAACACATTTGAATTTGATGAATTATATTTAATTCATGTTCTGCTTTAAAATAAAGTAGTATCTGTAGCTCATATTTTTTCCAATTCTCCTATTTTTTTCATGGTAAGGAATTTTTACTGTAGGATGTCATGTGTCACCAAAGTCCAGAGAATAACCTTTATTTTGAAGTCTGCGACGTTAGTACTTCCTCCTGCCGGTTAGACTCTACCGAGAAAAACGAACCGAAATCGCGGTCTGTCGACGAAAGGACTTCGCGGTGAAGAAGTGAACCAACGGAAAACAAAATGAACTCGATGGAAAAGAAGCTGGCGGATTTGATACGTGAACACCCGAATCTGTACGATCCGAGACGTCGGGACTACAAAGACAACATGAAGGGACATCTGTCGTGGAAAGAGATCGCGGACGCCATGGGAAAGTCGGAGGAAGAGGTGAAGCTGAAATGGAAAAATCTGCGCGACAAGTTCTGTAAAGCGAAGAAGCGACTGGCCAAGAGACACTTCCCCCTGCTGGACGACAACGAGGACCCGGCAGACAGGCATACCCCCGTGCTGTACAGCCAGCTATCCTGGCTCACCGCCTATGTCAAACCCAGAGGAGAAAGAGGCATGGGGGAGCCAGAAGTGTGTGTCCGCCATTCGGTAAAATGCATTTTTATGTTTAGTAGATTAGCTTTTGCTAAGCTTCGTAGCTTAGCTACAGCTAACTAACTTAGTAAAGGCCATAGTGACCGCCATCATACCGAACTGTTGCATAGTGTTGAAACTCTGCACGTATAAACAAGAATATATAAATGGCTAAATATCGTAAACATTATAGTATATGTTGTGTTCGCTAAAATCATGAAAACGTCCAGCCATGTCATTACGAACAGATGCCTATAACGATATCCGTTTTTCCAAATAAAAGCACCTGGAAGTCCAAAAGTAGCAACCATACTGTAGATAAACTAACACATACTCAATTTCTGAAGCTGTTGTGAGTTATTTCTTTTATTAATAAGGGAACTTATCTCTGTAACATTGTAATTAGGTCAATACTTACAATATAAACTTTATTTATCTATTTCAATAGTACACTACAGGGGTTTCAGTCATCGATACAGCCTCTAAATTTTATGTTTACATTTGTTTGTATGACAGTACTTTGTCATATTTGTGCTTTTTAAAAAGTATTTTTTAAATAAAATTTGGTCTCGATTGGATATTTTAATATTTCTGTCTTGTACAAACTGTTTTGCTTAAAAGCCTCAGTCAGTTTTCTGGAATGAACTAATATTGGCCAGTAACATAATGTTGCTGTCTAATCAGCCTTCAACAGAACAGCATCACATAAATTTATTAAAGCTAAATGTAATCAGAATTTGCATAATTTAACTAAAAATTTCTCCTGTAGGTCGTTAATGAAAAGACGCGAGGCAGAGCTGGAGGTGACAATGATGATGATGCTCAGATTATTTAATTAGGAGTGATGAGGATGAACAAGATTAGAAATAACTGTATCAGAGGTACAGCTCAACAATGAAGGAGGACTAGCAGAGGGTATGTGTGACAGAGGAAGATTCTAGGGATAGGGTGAGGTGAAGGCAGATGACTGATGATTTTGCAGCAAATGTCTACCGCCTGGTTCATTAAAGCTGGTCTTAATCAACTGCTTCTCCATGAGCATTTCTGTCTCTTTTTCACTAGCACCTAACCTGCTTGACTCGACTTTTTCGTGTTTTCCATTAGGTATTAGTACCTGATACCAGGTAAATTTTTAGTACCTACATGGCCGGGATTTTAAGCGAGCTGAGTCACATTGAACAGACTACATGCCACTGATTGGCCAGGAGGTGACATCACTAGATGATTCATGAGGTCAACTCCTTCACAAAAATCCAACCCTCCAATTTTGAAATTCTGACGATCATCTCGCTGCCTGCAGCCACCTCTCTCTCTCTCTCTCTCTCTCTCTCTCTCTCTCTCTCTCTCTCTCTCTCTCTCTCTCTCTTCTTTTACCCTGACTCTAGCAAACAGCCATAGACCAAGCCACATGTATAGCATCATGTATGGATTCAAAAAAAAAGAGTGTGCGTTTGTATGTGCATATATGTACATGTGTGTGTAGATATATATATATGTATGTGTGTTTGTTACTTGTAGTTATTCTGCCTGTTACCTGTGGTAATGTAATTTATAATTTATATATTCTGTATTCAGTTATGAAGGCTCTAATTGTTGTTTGCGAGCTGCAGTTTAGATGCTTGTATGCGCCCAGGGCTGTTGATGGGACTGTATGCAATAATGGGCGTAGCTGCGGGAAGTTTATTGTTTTGTTTTGTTTTTTGTTTTTTTGTTGATGAGTGAGTATAGGGGTGGGATTTAATAAGTTTTCTTCGTCTCACTCCTTTTTCAGGCAATTTTTGTTTTTTGTTTTGTGCATTTTATGTTCAATATAGGTATTTGTTGTGCCTGGAAATGAACAAATAAATGAATGAATGAATGATCACCTTGATGTCCTCCATTGTTGTCTTGTGTTTGTGTCGCATACAAATGACATCACATGACTTTCCAGCTGCCTCCCTATGATGACCCTATCTACATTGAGCTGGTACTCAATTGTAATAGAAAACAACCAAAGCAGAGTCAAGCGAAGTAGGTGCTAGTGGAAAAGCCTTCTTTCCCATTGGATGTTGGGACACTGGCTCACCACTCCATCTTGGGGTAGACAGTGAAATATTGCAAATGTCTGGTGTTTGACTGCAATCTGAAAAAAAAAAGAAGAAGAAAATCACTGAGCGTAATCAGTAGTGTGTTGCAATCCGTGTTAACCAGTGTTTGTTTTCTGTTTTCATACCACACAGGTAGCTAGTAGAGCAGGCAACGCTGAGAAGGAGCAAGACAAAGAGGAGAAGGCGCAGCTGGGCTCTCTGCCTGTCGTCAGCACCAGCTTTTCTCTTCCGGAGTCCTGTCCGACCAGCGATCAGGACGTGGGAGGCTCTCTTAAGCGCAAAAGACAAACATCCGCAGAAACAGAGATAAGTTCTGCAGATCCCCTCAGCAACCTCAGAGATGAGGATGAACTGTTTTTGCTCAGCCTCTTGCCGTCACTGAAGAGGCTAACCATTAAAAAAAGGATGGAGGTGCGAATGAAATTTCAGCAAGTGCTTTATGCTGCTGAGTTTGAGGACTAAATAGTTCAGGTCCCAGTAAACACTGGTAGTTGGCAGTGTTTGATCTTAAGGATGTATGTTTGTATCAGACTGTATATATTTACTGTATATATTTTATAAATAAATATTTTATGGATCCTTCAAAACAGCTTTTGCTTCTTGTTTTCTTTTCTTCTTTTTCTTTTTTAATAGTCCCATTGTGTCCCATTTGGCTCTGATTCAGCACCTCTCCCTCTGACTTTGGCTGATTTTAAAGGCATAAGTTAACAGCAAACTATGTATAAAAGTGCTTCAGTACTGATAGAGATGCGTGTTTTTTGTTTGTTTTTTTGTTTTAAAAAATGCTGATTGTGCCTTTAAATATTTGCATTCTTACTGCTCATGCTTGCCTACATGAAATCAGCTTGGTCTTTGCACTCGTTCTGTGAATTAGAAATGTAGTGAGCCTCATCTTTGACAGCTGCACTGGTAACTGTTTCATTCTCTGAGCTGCAGAGTCATTCACTCCCAAACTGAACCAATCACCGCTCTGCTTCACTGAGACCCTCTCTCTGCTTCCTGCTTCTGATTGGATGGTAACAGACTCGCCCCTCCCCTCTTGTGTTCAGAAGTCACTATTCACAGACAATTCCATGTTTTCATTCATATCTTTATACATTTCATTCATACATTCAGAGTGTCACACTAATGTGTACATATAAGCACAAATAAGAGACCCACTGGTCTCAGTCTCTTCCTGCTTTGTGTCTTCTGTCGGCTCCCCTTCGTCTCTGCTGTATTTATCCCCTTTTCAGCCTCCTCTCCGTTCTTGCTTGTGTTACTCCTAAATCCCTCCCCCATACAGCTTCCCTGCTCTCTTGTCATTGGGTGCTATGTGGGGTGATGATTGTGGTTTCTGTCGGTGATATCCCCCAAGCGTGTACCGGCTTACTCCTCCTGAACTACAGACAGTCATGTTGTGATACTGCATCCATACACCACCTGCGAGATAGACAGATTATTGTCACCAGATGACTGGGAGCTGGTAACTGGATGGATAAGGTGAACCTTTGATGTACATCAAACCAATCTTTCACAAAGTCATCACCTGAAAGTGACCGGATTACAGATTGCTGAGACGCTGACATAACCGATAACTGAGGATCAACGCACCGCTTTTTCCTGTTGAGGTGAGATGCACCATCCACATGTTTAAGTAACGACGGCACATTGTGAGTGGTGAAGTGATAGTTAGCTGTCACACATACTGTAATCTGTAGTGTGCACGTTATAATTATACTGTGTTTTCTATTTATAAGATGTGTCACTCCTGATATCCTCCTTGCTCCTTGTCATTGAAATTAATATTAATAAATCTGTGACTCTGTCAGAGTGTGATCACAGCACCACTCCAACTGCAGCAGCATTGCTGCACAATGAATGGCTGCCTACTACGATGAAACAGTACCACACCCCTATTGGTGGAAAGAGCTTCCAGTGGGGGATGTCAATTGGCTCATTGTGCTGTCTCTCAGGCAGAAGGGCGTGTCCCAGGGATTGTCAAATGGCACAAAAACACACCATGCTGGAAGTGGTGTGTAGTGAGAATGTTTAGGTGTGGTTCATGGATGGAGGGAGGAGATAGACGGGAACATGATACAGCTCTGGTTCTAAAGAAGTTTTAACTGAAATGTATTAAAGCTACTGCTCTAAAATATGAAATAAAAGAATAACTACATTTAAAATCCAGTACATTTTAACTTGAACGGTGATGCATAGTTATACAGTCATGGTTATACTCGGTGACTCTAACAAACACGACATAAAGATGGATAAAGACAAATTCAGTGAGGTATGGAAAAAAAAAACTGAGATAGCAGAAGCCTGAATTTTTTATTCTCTACTGACTGAACTGACAAATGAAGATTCAGAGAATTAATGGTGGTAGCATTCAGGGAATGCACAGATCTGCACAAACCTGGTCATATGATTCCTGGTCAGCCCTAAGGTATTAGAGAGAGCAGGACATGGAGAGAGAGAGGAGAAACAGTGCTCTTTGTTGTGTAGTGTGTTATAACCCTCTATGCTGCCACAACTGTAATGGATTGTGCTGCTGGTGTGGTTGGAGGCTTTTAGATCTGTATGATGGAAAGGCGGTGGCCCAGTGGATGCATTCCTTATAGCTAAAAGAAAAGGTAAAAAGCCTTTTGTTAAATGTGGTGGCGAGTGTATTTTTACTTAAATACACTTACATTTTGGGAAATTTAGTTTTTAGGATAAATGAAATACTTGAGCAAAGGTACTTTTAGCATATATTATTATTAACATCAAAGGATTTGTATATGTGAGTGATGTGTTTTGGGGGTCAGTGATCAAAATGAGGATTTAAAAAGAGGAAGTGCAGCAGATAATCAGAGTGTGTTTACCTCAAAACCATCCACATCTTCACATCCTGGTGTGCCGGTGAACAAATGCTAGCAATGTATGACTTTAGGTGGTCTTATGTATGAAAGAAGTCAAAATAATGCCAATCACTTATGTAGTTTAATCTTAAAGAGCTTAAAAGTCTGTTACCCTCTTTACTATCTGTTCCTCAGACGTGGGATATTAGAAAACTGAAGATAAGCTGACTGTGGAGCTGACCGATCAGAGTGGACAACTTCAGGAGGGAGGATCTACTCTTCAGTTCCCAGTGGGCAGAAAAGAGCCCTACTCATCATGTACTCCCCTCAGAGTCTCCACCGCTGGGGCATCACTCATAGTGAGAGTATGGAGCGGTTAGCCTACAGCCAAGGTATGATGGAAATTTCTGTTTGGTCTCTCACATTGAAAAACAGTGGCTTACCCACAAATCACTGCTTTAAAACAGGTGAGGTACAAGAGTTTAATAGGATGTTCAGGGATTTAGAAAACCAGCCACTGACAATGGCAAATAAGTTTGATGATGCTTCATTTTTATGCTGTTGTGTTCACTGAATCTGCTGAATGGCATTTTATTTTTTCAGATTATTTGAAAATAAAATTATTATTAGCTGCAGCCTTTAGTATCAGCTCTAAACCTAATCAAGTTTTCCATTTAGCTGTGCTCTCTGCCAATATTTGTCTTCTTTCTCTATACTGGTGACTGTGTGGGGGTGTTTATGATTTCCACTGTTCTTTTTTAATATGCTTCTGCATTGCTATTTAAGAATTTTCTACTGTAGGTTTAGTATAGAGGGCAGGGGACGCCATGGTAGATGAGTTCAAGGTTGGGGTGGGAAGACATCGGCGATCTGCTCTGACTGCACAAGAGAGGTTGCAGAGCTTATTTTCATGGGGAGTAACTAGGATGGACAAGACTAGAAATGAGTACATCAGAGGAACAGCTCAAGTTGAGCAGTTTGGAGGCAAAGAGAGACAAGGTTGAGATGGTTTGAACATTTGCACAGGAGGGATAGTGGATACATTGCGCAAAGGATGCTGAATGTGGAGCTGCCAGGCAGGAGGAAAAGTGGAAGACCATAGAGAAGACTCATGGATTTTGTGAAGGACATGTATGTTGGTTGTTGGTGTGACACAGGAGGATGCTAGGGTGAGATTAAGGCAGGTGGTCCGTTGTGGCGACCCCTAAAGGTAGCAAGAAAGAAGACAGATTTTATTCGGAAGGAGCCTGTTATTTTTCTGTACACGCTCCACCTGCGGGCAGAGCTGCAGTTCCCGTTTCCAGCAGCAGGGGGCGGCAGAGTAGGCTCTAAAATCATTACGTAGTGCTCCCTTTTGTGTGTCTTGTGAGCCGTGTGTGACACCTCCCCTCGGGCGGGTGCAGTGGCACGGCGGAGACGCCAACTATCGGTTAGGTCTGCTGGCTGTAAACAAATCTTTACGCCACCACGATGTATGGAAAATACACGTTTACTGAGCAGCGGTTCTCTGTGCGGTCGGCACCTGCGCTCACCTTCATCATGTAGCGAGAGCGGCGCCAAATATACGTTTTGGAGCTCGGAGACGTAACGACAGGTTTTGATTCTGGTTAGAGCTGTCATTGCTTTGCCCAGTGCCATCACAGGTATTTTTTTAATAGACATATACGCAGCGATTGTCATTATGCTCGCCAGAGGAATTGAGCATCAAAGCTAGCTCGCCGACGGTTAGCAAAACCGTTTGAATCTGGCTGTTTTCGCAGCGGAGAGCACACCTAGCTACAGTCATTTCAGCGCCTGAACATGGCATCGTCAGCAGAGCACGACCTGTCTCTGTCCGAAGCGGACAGCAGCAAGGATAAATCCCAGGTATTTGGGATTTTGAGGCTTCAGGAGGAGAAGGCTGCTGCAGGGGATAAAGCTAACAGCAGCAGCACGGTGAGAGGAGGAGGAGGTGGAGGAGACGGGCGATGGCAGGCTCCTATCTTCGCTTTGGCCAGAAAGGCGTCCGAGACCATTTCAGGAAGCATTCACGTCCTGCCCAAAGTGTCGGAACACAGGACGTCCCTGCCAGGAGACTGGGCCGTCCAAGGTAGAGTTTGATGAGCTTCTCGGGCCGTGAGGGTGTGAAGGACTGCCTGGTTACTGATGACGAGACTGATGACATCCAGTAACTAATTTGGATGTTGGTTATGTTAAAACAGTCGCTAATTAAGTTAATTGATACTTCTAACGGTATGATTTTTGCACAATAGATCCCCATGCCTTATTGTTATTAGTTGTTCTGGAGCTTTACTGCCTGCAACATCACATGCTGCATTGGTGCAAATGGAAAATGCCCCTCTGCATCCCCCGGGGTTTGTATCATGCTGCAGAGCTGTTAGCTGCATGTGTTGTCACCCTATTGGTGATCTCACAAAATCAGTAACTGTAGAGCTTTACTGCCTCTGCCCAGCAGCCCGAGTGTCTGTCTCTGTCACCACATCACCTCCCACACTCAGAGCTATAAATAATCTGGCTGGTTTCAGATGTACATCACGGACTTGTGTTTGAATTAAGGATGAAACAGGCAGTTAACAGTTATTTCTGATAAATGTTTGCATTGTTAGCACGAATTTTAAACCCCTGCAACTTCCAGCCTTATGCGACGAGTGAGCTTGTTGCTTTTAATTGCTTTGCATCACCTCTGTGTTTTAGTCTGATGAAGATGTATCTGTGGAAAGATTGTCATGATTCATGGCAACACTCAAGACAATTTAGCTGTTCAAAGGCAC